GGGGGGCGGTGAGCCAGCCCCAGCTAATGGCTGGGTCCAGTTTCTCCAAGGTGCGCATTCAGATCTGAAGGTGCCTCTCCCCTACTTCTCTTTTCCTTCCTCTCAGAGAGATACCTGGGCCAGCAGGTCAACTCAGGTTACCTCAACAGGTATAAGACCCCCCAAGGGGGTTGAATGCCAGCAAGGGAGAGGAGGTCCCCTGACCCAAAAGATGGGATCCCAGGGGATCCTTAAGTCTGAGGACTTTGAGGAGGAACAAGCACATCATATCCCCAAATACTTCAGGCATCAGCAGTCTCCATGCCTGTTGCCCTTCCCAGGGTGAAAAGCTGCCCTGCCTTCCTTAGGTCCTTAAAGCCCTCTTGCCTGCCTGCTGTGGGCAGTGAAGAGGGCCAGAGGTGGGTGGCATTGCATACACCCAGTCTACACTGCCCCTTCAGACACCAGTTCGTGCCTGAGGCACAAAGCCCAGGCAATGGCCAGGAGCTTGGCTGGAGACTCTGAGAGCAGAGCTGCTTGTGGAGACAGAGAAGGAGAGAGCAGCTGGTGGGTCCCTGGCTTCTGGCTAGGCTGATTCAAGATGTTTCTTCTTAGGAGAATACTTATATCTGGGTTGGAGGAGACTGGAGCACGGTTCTTACTTGTCCCCACACACCCTAACCCCATAGGAAATGCCAGCTAGCCCTGGAGGGCCCCCCTGGCTTTACTGTGCCCCCACTTCCCCAGGCAGGCTGCCCAGGCCAGGATGTGGATGGGAACTGTCAACAGACACTGTTTGAATATTTACCCACACTTTCTCTGGGGGGTTCTACCCATCTCCAAGACTAGGTAAATTCAAATTAATTCTAACAGATTAAAAAAAAAAAACCTTACTCCATCAACCTTTCTCTGGCCATATGTGTATACAGTTATGTGGGCCGAACACAGACAGAGAGAAAAGAGAGAAAGTGAGAGAGCTGTGGATATGTGTGCTGTGTGCATATGAATTAAAAAGAGGAATAAATGATTTTTCCAGTCTCCCCCCTATGCAGGGCAACACTGAGGCACAGTCAGGATACACACATACTGTATGTGTTAGCCTTCCACTCTGAAAAACATCAAATGCATGCTCACTAAACTACCATGCATGCCTGGAAACACCCCTGTCAGCTCACAGATACTATGCTCACATGTGCACACCCAGGCACAAGGAAAATAATACCTGACAAACACACATGCATCTTTAGCTCTTTGCATCATGAAAAAAAATTGGTAACAATTTTCCTTCCACATCCTGGGGTTTCAGGGTTGGACAAGGAAGGAGGCAGTAGGAAAACCAGATCTTTTTCTCCCCTATCCAGAGCCCAGCTCTAGGGCTGGAGGAAGGAATGGCATGGGAGGATGGTGCCAATAGAAAGAGACCCCCCACTCCATCCCTCTGTTATCTAAATTATTGCTGGGGAAATGGCCACCCTCAGCTAAATTCTCAAAGGAGATTCACTGGTGCCCCAGCAAGAGATGTTTCTTCAGTCCCCTGAATTTGGAGAAACCCGCCCCCATCAGAGTTAGAAATTGCTCGGACTCTGCAAAACCCAGAACATGGGCCCTGGAGCGGGATGGGGGAAAGGGGAGGTGCAGAAGAGGGCTCTGCCAGGGATACAGGTCCCCTTAGGGTTCAGGATAATGCGGGACAAGACAGGGGTCTCCACCAGTACCAGAGAACATGCTTCAGCCTGCTCTTCAAGTACTGAGCTAAAGGAGATGGACTCTGGGCTCCCAGCATCTGGATCACTGGGGACTGTCATAAATACTTTCCCTGGAAAAAGGAGGCTCCGCAGGCTAGATCCGCTCTGGGGCCTACGCCTTATCTTCAGAGGGTGGGGGGATATCTCGACAGTTTATGGTCCAGCGAAAACCCTGCCACACAGCTATTCTTCCTGGCCTTTGTGTCTTGGAATGCGACTGTCCTGAGTGTGTCGCCACCACCTTCGGCTCAGAGAGCCCACCAGTACGAAATTCCTGGCTGGACTTGGTTTTTCCTTTTAGGGGTCCCTTGCCTATCTTTCTTTCATTTGATTTTTTTTTTCTTTTACACATATCTGGTTGGTTTCTCTCCAGGAGCCTGGAAATAAGGAAATCACAAGCAGCCATCCTCGCCGCGGCGTCTCTGTCCCTCTCCCTAAGGCCTGCACCGCCCTCTTAGGTACCACGGATTTATGTTCGTTTGTCCGGGTCATTCTGCCTTTTTGTGTTAATTACGCGCTGCCTGCTTCGTGCTTATCACCTCCGCAAAGCGATTCTTTTCGACGCCCGCCCTCTTGAGCCTCCCGAGCCTGCTGCCAGCGCGAGGGCCCATCTCCCGCCACCACTCACGATTTATTTACACCTCGCAGGTGAGAGGATTGATTTGCTCAGAGCCAGTGGGGCCAGGCTGGGCCGGGGCGCGGGGCCTTCTCGCCGTTCCTCCTCAGTGCTGGGCCTTAAATGTCAGTGCGGCCAGGCGGGTCTGGGGCACCAATGCAGCCTCTAACATTGAGCAACAGCGCCACCTCGCGTCCACTTGCTCTAATGCAGTCCAGCCGGGAAAAAAAGCCAACAGACACAGCAAGCAAGTCCCAGGCTTAGCCCTAAGATGGGAAGTGGGAGGGAGTTTCTAAATGGGTACGAGAAAGAGGGGAGGAGGCTCCTTGGAAGAGATTTTTCCCGGGACCTCTGTTCTCTTGTTTTGTAAGTTCTCGAAATAAACCTTGTCAAAGGTTTCACACTATTTTCTCTTTTTGTCACCCTCTCTTCCGGCATTAAGAGACACTGTACGAGAGAACTGCCGCGATCTTCCCCCCTATTCAGGTGCATTTCTGGGCTGGGAACACCTCCGCACATTCAGATGCACTTCCCGAAGCTCCCGCGACCACCTGCCCACGGCGCGCACCCTAAAATCCTCGATCCTCTTACCCTGCTGCTGCTTCCGAACAGCCTATTCCGCCGCCGCCCGCAGGACTTTGGGGTGGGACTCTGACTTCTCCCGGTTGTTGGTCCCCTGGTTTGTAGCCCATCCCTCTCTCACGAGCGCTCTCTCCACCTCTCCCTCCCAGCCAGTGAGGTCCTGTTTTCCGTGGGCCATAGACAAAACATTCCTATAATCCGATT